CCACATAGTGTTCATTTACTGAAAAGTCACATTGCACCAACTGTCATGGTAATAAAAACTATTCAAAAAAAAAAGACCGTAATTTTAAAACAGTCTATCAAATGAAAGTATCCAGGGACCCAGAATGTTACCCCATCCAGGGACTGATAAATCACCCCATTCCTGAGAATCTCATGCCCTTTCCTGACCCACCTCACCAGCCCCGCCTCGCCAGGACCTGGCTGGTCAGAGACGTGCAGTCACTAAGCCCCAGAGACAGCCTAGAGGTGCTCCAGCCTGTGAGCTCCCTCCAGGCTCCCACTGCAGAATGACTGCCCCATGTTCCTCAGAATAGCAAAAGGAAGAAACGCCAGTGGGGGCGGGTTTTCACTGTTTGTGGAGAGTAACCAAAAGAAACCTGTTGTAGAAACCGAAGGCCCAGTACTTCCTAGGCTGCGGTCTTCCCCCGAGACGCTCAGGCGACTCCTGCATCCTAGTGACAAGCATGTTTGCAAGCCAGAGGCCACCTGCCAACCCCAGCCAGGGTGGTTCTGCCACATACTCACTGGCTGCCGGGTCTGCCCAGCTGTCCTTGTCACTTCCCAGGCACAAGCAGCATGGCTTATAAGCAGAGCGTGAAGGCCATACATAAATCTAGACAGAGGTCAGATGCACGCAGAGGCTCTGCACGCAGGTGGGGAGCCACAGGGGCCAGCTTAGACGAGGGAGCCCCTGCCTAAGCTAGATACCCGACACACGGTCCCAAACCGAGGCCCATGTCCCAACACCACAGTGCAATTCCAGGATTGACGTCCTGGACCCTGAGGCTCATGACCAGGCAGAAGCAGGCCAGACATACAGGTCCTTGCTTCCTTGGTACCATCTGCAGACCACTGGTGACACTCTCAGCATCAGAGTGAGAGGAAGGGTTGCTGGGATTGGGAGACACTGGAAGCCACGAAAAGCCCTGGGCTGCTGCCCTCAGCTTCTAGTGCCCTGATACAAATCGGTGCTTAAAAAAACAGAAGCATTTTGGAACCAGCAGTTAGCGTAATGGCTATGTCGCTGAACTCCCATGTAGTTGACTGCGGTTCGAGTCCCGGACCCGGTGGCTTAAACTCATGCCAGGCGCGTGTGTGTGTGTGTGTGTTCCCAAGATCCTGAGAGGAGAAAGGAGGAGAAGGGATTGCGGTGTGGCCATCCCCCCTGGGGGGTGATTTCTCGCTTTTTGTCTGTCTCTGTCTGTCTTTCTGGCACACGCCCTATAGCAAAAATCTCTTAAAAAAAAAAAAAGAAGAAGAAGAAGCATTTTACTGTCTGTTGAACCCACGGTGATGAGCACAGGCATGGAGCTAGTGAGCACCAAGGGGTAAGGGGCTTCCTGTCCCTGGGGAAAGCAAATCTGGCCTCCCTGACAACCAGCGGGGTGTAAGATATACCTGTGGCCATTCTGGCAGCTGCAGTTGACACATCAGAAAAATAACAGCAACTACTTGCGTCTTCTCACATGTGCCTGGAAACACTACCACCCAGTGACCCTCTCCTAGGCCAATGGTCCTCAGGTCTTATCAGGTGTCCCCACTGCGCCACACTCCTAATAGCATCCAGGCACACACAGAGACAGACATGCACACATCCGATGCACATGTGTGGGATACTTCTGCTGGAACCAGGCCCAGGAGGCAGAGGCAGACGCTGACTGATGGATCGAACCAGGGATTATGTCTGCCCACTAATCACAGGAGCAATCTCCTCTGGCAGGAGACGCTTTGGGAGAGGGGAAACAGGACAAAACGAAAACACAGAGCAGCAAAAATACCCTAACGGAAAGGTTTGGGTTTAATTTCAAACCCAAATAAACCATCGCTTTCTTATTTGGAAAAACAGAAGCTATTCTGCCAATTGGCTTGGCTTCTCGCATAAAATTCAAAATTATGTCAAGGACTGCCAAGGGTGGCTGCAATGTCCCTCCACCCCAATGCCTCCTGGCTCTCACTCATTCTCCTTCACCCCCCCGCTCCCCCGCACCCTCTTTCTAAACTCACAGGACACCTCAGGTATCTTCATGGTCCTACTATCTCCATCCCCACCTGAATACCCTAGGCCTGTGGTTTCGTCTTCTCTTCTCTACAGACCTCTTCACCACTGAAAAAAGACACCTCTACCCATCCACCCATCTCCCATCCCAGGACCTATCAGCACCCTTCCTGGACCCATGCCTTTTCCTGTTCAACAGCACGTGATTAGGAACAATTAATATTGCGTTTAACACAGATTTCTCAAGGATTATTGTTTGCGTTTCATTTTACATAAGCATTTACCGTTTTTTATGAGAGTTTTTCAGGGCATGTGTACTCAACAGAGAGACAAAGAGACAGAAGATGTTTATCAGTTTAACTTCTTTGTGAAAAACAAAGTTTTTTTTGTTTGTTTGTTTGGTTTTTTTAGAGGTTTTTGCCATAGGGCGTGTATGCTCGCCAGACAGAGAGAGAGAGACAGAGAGATAGAAAGCAAGAAATCACCCCCCGGGGGGATGGCCACGCTGCAATCCCTTCTCCTCCATCCTCCTCTCGGGATCTTGGGCACGCACGCACATGTGCCCAGTGTGAGTTTAAGCCACCGGGTCTGGGACGCGAACTGCGGTCGACTCCGTGGGAGTTCAGTGACATAGCCATTACGCTAACTGCTGGTCCCTGAAAAACAAAGTTTTTAAACTTAGATATCTTTGACTATCAAATTTAGGAGTCAACTTAAAAATGCCTAAGGGAGTACACAGATGTTAACTATGCCCTCGGCATCAGAGTGAGGAGGAAGAAAGTGACCATTTAGAATAAACAAACAAACAAACAAACAAAACGCAGCATTCGCCATCTAGGCAAGCTGAAAGTGCTATCCCTGATCAAGGCCAAGGTCCCTTGAGAAGATCTCACGGAAAATCACCACGTCTAGAGCACCGAGTTTCAACTCTACGACGCCCTTAAATTTATTTGCTGTTCACTAGACACGCGTGCTGGGTGCCATGGGAAGCAGAGGGTATGTGGATAATCCGGGCAGCACCCTCGAGTAGCACCTCTGACCTAAGACCTAGTCTACACCCAGTTGTGCTATCCTATTAGTACATAATGTAAGCTGCCGATCTGTGCTCCATACCACAGGGAAAACACGCAGGACACCAGAGGAAAAGCAGAAGGCTGGTGAGCATGTGAGATGCAGGTCCTGGTGAGCCAAGGCAGCCAGTTACATTAAGAACCAGACAGACGGGCTAAGCACCTCACCCCCACCCAGGCAGTGCCTATCCCTGCCACAGCTGGTTCCACACTCAGCTCTGCTCCCTACGGTGAGATACAGGGTGAGTATCTCTCCATCGAAATGCTCCAGACCAGTAATGTTGCCAACTTATTTTTCTTGTTTGGGGGAAGGGAAGGTGAAATATTTGCATATACCTG